GTTTAAAGGTGCAATAGGTGATTGTCTCCAGAAACATTTTTTGTTATGCAGGTTGAAAGTCTCTTCACATCCCGATAGCAATTATTAAGTTAAGTGGTCTAAATGTATTTGTCTGTATTTATATATTCTGTGGAAGGCCCACCGTTTAGTAAACTGTGGACTAGCTTTGGCTCTTGCTGCTGACTTGAATGGTGATGCTTCCCGTTTGTCAGTTGATGGCCTTTCATTTTTAACCAGAAATGCGCACGCTGCTTTTCTGATGTTCACTGAAGTTTTCTGTGTCTTTTTCCCATGTCACTTGAAATGTTTCCGTTTTGAATCGTTACCAAAGGCGAGACACGTGAGGAAAAAATAAACGATCAGTTGTGGGACTATATTCTGTCATAAATCTCACACCATTCATTGCTGAACTTTCTACCGACTGTTACTGGAAATGAAATGAAATTACTGGTTGATATGTCCCGATCTCAATAAAGTTTACACACGCTTTTGGTCCGTGAATTAGATCTCGCTCGGGACGCGCGCTGTCTGTGGAGGTTTGGCCAGGACTGGTTCCAGAATTAAATCCGTTAAGTCCGTTGCCAATCACTGCTATTCATTCCCGAAACTTTGCAGGGTGTAGCCTACGTGTCCGAAAAACTAAAGTTTCTTACAAATTCTGAATGGATTATACCCTAGAAAGTCACTAAAAAGTGTCACTCATCTTCGCTCACTGCGATCTTACAAAGTTCCGTTATAATCAATGAAGCTCTCTAAACTGATCATAATATCTCTTATTTACATTGCATCTGCACTTAGTCATGAGATGATTCACGAGCTTGCAAAACTGCACTTAAAAACTGCGGTGCTTTCAGCGGTGAGTGAATTCTGATAAAACGTTTCTGATTGGCCATTGCGTTCAAAAAAATCAGGGGTTCGGGAGTTACGGGTGGTTAAATTCGCGATCCGGTGCCGACCGATCAAGCGATTCCGGGGGGCTACCGACGCGCGGAGGGTGGCGTTCAATAGGGCTCCTCGAGCTGAAGGGATCCCCCGAATATGGTGGCGATCCGCCAGTGCGTTCGCGAGATAGTGACACCAGCTAACACATTCACTTCAGTAAGGAGGTCTCTTGTTCAGGCAGCAGCATTCAAGCGTTGGCTCTTTCGACCGTAAGTGCCCTGCGAAATGGACTTCACATAAAATTCTTGACTGGTACTGTACTATAATAAACACAAAGAATATCAGCCGATATATCGATATCGGCCTTTTTCTACTCCCTAATATCGGTATCGGCCCCAAAAAACCCACATCGGTCGGGCTCAAGTATTTAGCGCTTGGCTAAGCGCTCCAATGCAGCTGGGCATCATGGTTTCCATGACTAACAACTTGCCCCCCGCAATGTCGCCCATGATACATATTGTTCCAAATTTTATTCTACAGATTATGTATTTAAGAAAAAAAAAAATAAAATTCAGTTTAAATTTTATTAAATAATTTAGTGCAATAATAACAGTGTGCAGATAGGTACTATTTATTTTTCCATGATAACATTTCACTCAGAATCACGTAAATACTGTGGTAAATGAATACAGTAATCATTAAGTACCATATATCAAGATACCATGGCATATGTCCACAATACCATACAATACTATAGAACAGCCACAGGATGTTTTTGTAAAGGTGGGTTCTGCATTTGGAAAAGCTAAAATAATAATATTTAATAATAATAATACTATATCAGGGTAATAGTAAAAATGTGACATATAATACAGTTTTTTTTTTGTTTTTTTACAAAAATAAATAAATAAGAAAGAAACAATTCTCAACATTATCTAAACTTTAATATCTACAGATTGCTACTCACAAACTCCACACAATGCTCTTCAATATGGCCACTGCAGGTCTCTTTCCAGTTCACAAGATACTCATGTTTAACAGTCTATATTTTATATGACGTCACGTTTCACGTTATTGTTAGCTGATCTCATGAGGAGACATTGATACCCTGAAACAGCATCGCAAATCTAATGGGATTCCCCTGTAGCCACCAGGCAGGATCTCGGAGCATTTCTGCTCCTGTTTATCAGAGGAAACCAACATCCCCTCAGGGTGTGTGTGTGTGTGTGTGTGTGTGTGGTTAATCTGAGCTCTATAAGCACTATTACAGCTGAGAGGTGACGTCGATCATAATCCTCTCATTTCACTGTGGATTTGGCTCACACACAGACAGTTCATAAAAAACATCCGTCCGTTTTTCCACTCAAAAATAAAACCACCTCCAATGAAAAAGGAGTCTCACAAAGACGCATTAACGCAGAAGTGCGCACACACGTACTGCGACACAATTAACACGCCGCCACAGACTCGCATGCTAACATGTTTGTGGCAAACTGCAGACTTTCAGCCCTCGTGAGAAATATCAGCGGCCCGATTACTGAGAGTACAGGTGAAGAAGAGCTTCTCAGAAAGTATGGAAGTCGTGGGAGGAAAATGTAGCAGTGAATTTAGTCGAAATCGTACAACTTGAGCGTCCTCTCTACGCTACAGTTCTCTAGACCATCATTAGAGAAGAGACACATTACGACACTAATGAACGGCAAAAATGTGCTGCACTCGCTACACATATGCATTACAAATGTAAGTACATTCCTTTTATATCCACTCTTAATATAAAATAATATAATTTCATTCAAACCATAAAACATACAGGCATTTCTACTAAGAATATGTAAAAAAATATTATTCAAGGTTATTAAATAAAACAAAGATTATTGGAGTATGTTTTACAAGAACATTTCAGTCTTTTTTTTAACTTCAAAATTTCAATCTAATGTGTTACTTGCCATTTCTTTGTAATTATCTGTGAAATAAAGTTGTGCTGAGTGTTGCTATAGGTGGTTAATTACTTGAGAAATAAACACTTAAGATTATATACACTTCAAGAAAAGTCCACTCTCAAGTCTCTATGATTTTTTAAAATCATAAATTGGATAATTTTGCAAAGTAAAAAAGTAAGCACTGAGGTTTCATACTAGGGGTTAAGATTTTAAGTATAAGCTGTATTAACTAGTGATACTGGCTTAGTATGCACACTAATTAAGACATTTTGTGATTAGGCCTGACTGTGATCTCAATGCTTAAAAAGCACATTTCTGTTCTTCTGTTTCATCAGAGCACCTGCTACTCCTCCGAACGACAAGAAATCCTTTAATTATGACAAAAGCCCAAAAGCTTCAGCATACTTGCAGCACAATCCATAAACCTTTAATAAGTCGCAGTCATACTGTGATGAGGAGCTTTTCTGTACAAATTGAATTTCGAGCTGATAATGAAACTATCAATGAAAACAAACGAAGCGTTTTCTGTGTCTCTTCAGCCACTGTAATGTTAAGGCCATCAATCAGAAAGTTATCGACGCTTTTATTGCAGGAACGGCACATGATGAGGAAGCCAATCCAAGCATCACAGACGCAGAGCAGAAACATCTCAGACATTAATAAACAGCAGATTTCTGGCCTTTGGATTATGAAGACGTCACATTTTGGTTGGGTAACTTTACATTTCATTGTCTGTGTTGGTTAGAGATAGAACAATACATATATGCAACAACAGGAATTATTTTCATGTTAAATTTAAGTTGAAACAATAAATAGATAAGTAGACTACAACAATAAAAGCATAACATCCATTATGTATTAATGGATTAATAATAATTAATATAATTATAATTATTATTATTATTATTATTATTATTAATAGTAGATTATTTAATTATTTTTTTTAATGAAGTGTCCAATCACATTTTATTTCGCCATTTGACACAATTATAAAAAGATTAGATTACCTCAATAAAAAAATTAATCAATTATAAACAACAACATATTACATTTATATAAAAATATAAGTATTTAAGCTTTGTTTAAGTGCCCAAATTGTTTTATTTCTGCATTTTGACACAATAATAGATTGATCATTAGACTACCTCAATAAAAACATAACATCCATTATAAATAATTCATTATTTATTAAACATTATTAAAATAAGTATTTTGAGCAGGTGCTTGATAATTTATAATATTTAATCATTTTTATTTCTTGATTCATTTTTTTCATATTCTCTTTCTCTCTGTAAAATAAATGATTAAACAAATGGACGAGGTAAATTGTCATCCATTGTTATATCTGTAACTGAACGAGGTAATAGGAAATATTGTTTTGCATTCCCTCACTAAAACACAAAGTACCCACACACTGGCCTGTGAATGGCTGTAGACATGAAATTTATATCATAAACATGCACATAATTGCTCATGGATTATGTCCAAAACACACTGACTGCTATTCTATATGGACCAATGTGCTGTTTCCCTTTGTATCAATCAACCAGGAATGCAATGGCAAAAATATGCCAAAATAAAATCGATAACGCCATAAAAATCTATGGCACTGCAACCGAAAGCATCGTGTATGGATGCAAAAAAAAAAAGAAGAAAAAAAAAAAAGAGAAAGTAAAACTGTCGCTCGAACGCGCGTTACACTGTAACGCTGATCAACAAAAGATCTTTATTGCGTCATAATCGCTGTTACATTGTTGCACATGGATGCGTCGGATTCTTTGATCGCGCCTCATATTTCCTCATAACAGCGCTTATGATCGGCTCTCTCCTGCGTTTAAAGGCCTCAAACTCCTCCAGACACCATTTTGAGCGTCTCTGTGTCTCAGCTCTATGGAATGTCCAAATGCATGACAAGGGAATGAACAAAGTCAGCTTGAAAAATCCCTCTCATTCACGGATCCGTCCCGATAACGCCGTTAATCGACAGTCTGAAATCGAACGCGTTCGTTTTCTCTTAAATCACCATCAGACAAATTAGAAAGAGCTTCACCATCACTAACACACACACACACTGGCAGTAGAAAAGCACTGCTGCGGTTTGGTGGCAGTGAAGCTCTAATGGTGGTTGGATGGTGTTTCTGGACTTTAGAAATAAAAACTACATCAAACGTGACTTACCAGTGCGAGATAGTTTAGATGGGTCACCCTGATCCAGTCTGTGAGGGTCAGTCTATTCTCCGCGAGTGTGAAGGTTTCCTCCTCCGGTTGATTTTTCAGGCTGTATGGAAGCACATAAAGCGATGGGGGATGGGGGACGCCAGAAGAGAAGAGAGGAAGGGAGGGGGATAGAGAGCGAGAGAGGGGGGCAGTAACATAGAAACACAAGGGGAGGACCTCTGTGTCTGACGCACGACTGAACGCACCAGGCCTTCGATGCACCATCCATTCGCCATATGCACGAGCAAAAATCAGACAATATGGCCAAATATGAATGCATGCGCGTGCATGCATGAAAATAAACCACACTTCATCTGCCATGATAACTCACATGCATACAGATCCACGCGTGTGATGGGACTGGTCATATAGTCTGTAAACAGCAAGAGCGAAAATCTGAAAAATGTGCCAGCTTTCATGTCCACCAGAGAACAAGCACTGTTTCTTCAGGATTGGTGCATTTTAAGCTGGAAATCCAGGGCTTGCATCACATTTAAAATTGTTCGAATAATATTATTCAAACAAACAGACAAATATTATTGATCACATTTTTGTTTTCGTAAAATAAATAAATAATTAAATAAATACATATACACAGTGCTGGCTGGATTACTTACAAATTATAGTCCATTACTGATTCTAGATTACAAGACAAAAAAAAAAAAGGAAATGTACTTAGTAAAGTAAATATATGTGCATTTACACGCAGTATAATATTTTCTCATTGACGCAAAAACCTTCACAAAGAAACTGATGAGACTTTGGTTCGCGCGCCCTCTGGTGTCTGTAATGCACCTCTACATTAGGGAGAGAAAGAGACGAAAGTTGTTTTTTTTTAAACACAGAAGACTCAAGCAATTGAAACGGGAAATATGTAAACTAGTGTCAAATTTCAACAAGTGGGGCAATGAATAAATCTCAGTATCGAACTGGATGAAGAGAAAGCAGTTCATTCCGCTGGGAAAGAGCAACAATACCATCTAGTGTTTCCAACATGTTAGATCACATTTCATCTGTATCAGCTTTCCTTTTGTGTTCTTGACTGATGCTTTGAAACTTACAAGATATATTACCTAATTTATCTTACAAAAAGGGAACATAGCGCTTAAAAGAGCACAACTGAATTTCCATCATGGTACCAACATATCACCATGGTACATGTAAAATACCTTTGATAGCTTTTTATAGTTTTCATTTAATGTGTCACTTTTTTGTGCCAATTTCTTAAGCAGTATAGTGCAACTTGTAGACCAATGTCAGAGCATCAGAGCTCCAGTTCTAATGAGACAGCGAACAGAATGTCCGACAGTATCATGAATGTACACTGATGGAGATCTTAAACATACAAGACATCACTCATTACAGTAGTGGCTACCCAGCAGATTGAAGCTACAAATCAATATTTTAACACTTTCCAAAATGCCATGGTAGTTTTCCATGCTATTCTTGAAAGCACCATATAGTAAATACAATAGGTCATAAATCAGTTTCATGAAGACTTTTGCCGAACAATGGAATTTCTATAGTACTCCAAATATACCATGGTGGTGGAAGACATAAACTATCACTTTGATTGAATGTACCTCAGGTGGCTTGTCTTTGAAACAAGTGTACTTCAAAGTGATTCTAGTATTTTGGCATTTATTTGCTTTATTCTCTGTTATTTTGATGTAATGCATCTCTAATTTGTCAAAGTTATTAATTTCTTAAACTTTATCCATTATTTATCATCTTTAACAAATTGTCAACCCCTAAAAATATAACTCTTATTAGCACTTTTTAGTAAGCTTATGCAAATTCCTGGTAATTTTCCGCCTGGTGCTCTTAATTATTTATTCTTTTTCCATGGTTATTTTAGTTGTAGTAAAATTAAAACCATAAAATTTTGACTTAAAAATTTTTTTAATAATAATAAACATTCACCCAAAAATTCTGTCATGATTCACTCATCCTCAATTTGTTCCAAACCTACATGAGTTTTATTCTTCTACTGAACATAAAAGAAGATATTTTGAAGAATGTGGTGACAAAACAGTTGCTGGTCCCCATTGACTTCCTTAGCATGGACAAATATTCTATGGAAGTTAACAGGGACCAAAAAACTGTTTGGTTCCCACATTCTTCAAAATATTTTCTATTGTGTTCAGCAGAAGAAAGAGATTCATACAGGTTTGGAACAACTTGAGGAGTGAACCATGACAGAATTTTCATTGTTTGGTGAACTATGCTTTTGGGGAAAAAAAGAAAAAAAAAAACGTAAACATTTATTTTATTTCAGCTAATTGCCAAGGCAACGTGTGTCATTTTCGTGTAGTAATAAACTTAAACTAGCAAATAAATAAATACATAAATAAAATGACAGAAACACAACAAAAACAAAGTGAAAACAGTAAATATAAAAATAAAACTAGTTAAAACTAAACCATAATACTAAAATCTTTATCTCATTAGGTACATGTTCTAACTGTTCTCATCTGTAAACCTCAGGCTTTGACAGAGAATCCTCCCTGTTATGAAACCGAATCACCGCTAGAGGGAAATGGAGGGCTATTCTCATTGGACCAGAACATCTGTTAGGCTCCACCCTAAGAACTGCGTGTCCTCAGCTTGGGAACAATTTCAAAAGTCTCACTTGTACCATAACTGAGCATTTAATGAGCTTTTAATGAGGTCAGTGAAACTTTAACGTAATTAAATATGATCCAAATTGAGCAAATTAATCTCAAATAATGCTGTTTGAGAATCCTTGTGGTGTGCATGTCTTTATAGCATATCCTACTACATGTGTCTTATAGCAGATACTAAACAACTGAGAAGAAACCTTGTGCAGGTTCTTCGAGGAACGTTCAAGAGGGTCTAGCTGCAGCCTTGCACTTGCACTCTCAGACTTGCACTCTCAGACACTTGCCCTTCCGCTAGCGACGTCACTTGCAGTCTTTTATTTTGTTCTATTTATTGATTACTTTTTGTTTGAATCTCTCAACATTTTACAACAGTAGCCAGGTGGTGAAGACAAGAAAAAAGAAACTAAATTACGAAGTCACTTGCAATCGCCACTTGCACTCTCCGCTACCTGCGACGTCACTTGCAATCGACACAAATCGTGCGTGTTGCCAATGGAGACAAGACGCTGTGGTGGTGATTAAATGATTACAACTAATTTAGTACTATAACATACAGGGTCCTGCAAGAAAAAGACAAGACCCGCAAATCCGTGGCCACAGAACAGCAGAATATGAACGCAATGCACAAAGTCTCTCGTTAAGCGTTTTCCTCCTGTAGAAAAACATAAACACTTAACATGGCGTAATGTATTAAGATACATTAAGTTCAATTAAAAGATCAAATTCGATATATAGTTATTATTTAATGTACTACAAGGCAAACAGATGGCTATGAACACAATGCGCAAACTTTCACTTGTCCTCCCATACAGCAAAACGCTTAATGTTGTATAATAACATACTATGATAAAGACAATACAGCCTATATGTCTTGTTGACTCAAAGTATATACAGAACAGCAAATAAGAACGTGCATTATGAAATGCATTAAGTGAT